CGCTTTAATACCCCGGAAGGAAAAGCATCGGTCGTAGGGAACCCTGTATAACAAACAAATCATTATACATCATTAAACAATAAATGAATAATAACTGAATAAATTCGAAAAAAATACATTTGCGCCGGTGAGATTTAAACCCTTGTTCGCTAGATTACCGATTCAGAATTTTATTGAGTTTTTTTTTTAATAGAACTTATTTTTATTCAATCAAAGATAGCTATCAAGCTTAAAAGTGAAATAAACTTTCAGGAAAAACACTTTAAACGAATTTGATGGAATTATCAGTTAAATTGGAGCAGCTATTCACCATCTGCCTCAGAAAACTGATTATGCAATCCGGAAACAGTTGTCCAACATCCTCCATAATGTTATTCCCTCTGCTGAAAAGACCACCAGGGAGGAACGGTTCGCGCTACGTAGTCTAACAGAGACTAAAGATATCATTATTCTTCCGGTGAACAAAAGCAATGCCACGATGGTCATAGATAAGCATAACTACTCCGGAAAGCTTAGTACGAAGCTAGGTGAATCCAGAGTATACACTTCATTTAGGAAAGATGCTACGTGTACTATTGAGTGTAAAACCACCAAGCTTCTGAAGAAAGCTTACCTGTCAGCTGACCTGACCTCATCCCTCAACTCCAATGAATCCTTCTACCCCAAACTCTATGGACTCCCAAAAACCCATAAAAAGTACCCCTGATGGTTCACACCCAGACTTGACCCAGAGTTCCCCAAACTATGTTATCTCCACAAACGCAGTCTGGGTTGGGCGGAAACACAGAGTTCAGGTTAGAAACCGAATATCGGATAAACTCTAGACCCAGAGTAGGCTCCAGAGTTGAAAATTTTATTATTGAACGAGTTATAAATATTGTTGAAAAGTTGGGAGGTAGGGAGGGAGTTTTAAGACATTATTCAAGCGATTCTATGGTAAATATTGTGACGAAATTGCAGGCCATTTCATCACCTGTATCACTCCAGGGTATTTATAAATTAAACAAGAGAGAGAGAAACTCGGATTCGATAAAACAGCTACATAGTCTTTACAATAAAATCCGATATCAAAATGTTTAATGAGATGCCTGGATCGGGGAATTAATTTTGCGGATGGATGAGTTGGAGTCGGATTACGGGGAGTGGGATGAGTAGAACCAAGAAATGAGCGGAACACGTGCACGTGGTCACAAATTCACTGTATTTGTCAAAGTTATATTCACAATAATTAAATGTCACTAATTGAGTCACTGATAACTGGAATTAATGAGCGGACCGAATTCTATGAATTAATAATAACTGAGCTGACACAATGAGTTAATCCGAGTCACTAGAGATGAGCAGTACCATAAAAGAAGTGTCTCTAACTAGATCCCGGAAACGAATGAGAGAGAGACATGGGCTTACAGGTGCCACGTGCCCTAATTCGATGGTCACATGACCTAATTTAATATAGATCATATGGTAATAAGGAGCTGTCCAGGACGTGGCGCCTCAGGTGTCCGAATTAACAACCCCCGGTCATCTGAGGTGAGCGCGTCAGGTGTGCGTGAGTGGGGAGAGAATGGATGAGCCTTGCGTGCGTTAGTGTGAGGGACCTGTCAGCTGACAGGATTTCCAACATTCTCCCCGGCCGTCGGCAACTGTAAAGTTGTTGACGCAACCATAATGAGTAGAGCCATGGTGAGCTGAAACAAAAAACAAAATTCAAAACGCTCTTTGGTGAGCTGTCGGAGCTTGTCACCCATGAGTGAGTCCGTGAGACCGTCCGGAAGGTGCGCTGGCTAGGCATGGCAGCATCCTAGACGTCGGGGGTCGTAAATCCCTTCTGCGTTGGCTGCTGTCATTCTCACGTTGAACCCCGTCGGTTGGTCAGGGTCGTAAATCCGTCGAAGTTGACGAAGTCCAACGGTGAGAAGCCGGTGAGCTGTCCTGGTTCTATTCCCCTGAAGGTGAGATGGGCAAGAGGACGAGCTTGGCGATTGGCCTTGTCAGCGTCGTCTGAGCAGTCCTGATGGTGACTACCCTGGTGAGTCCGTCCGATCCTGGGTGCAGAGCGGTCACTCGGGCGAGAGGCCACTTCGCTGGCGGGAATCTCTCGTCCGTGAGTAGAACCAGTGAGCCGATCCGTATCTGATGAGTCGGATGGTGCCACTTGGATATCGCTTGAAGACGTTGGAGATATCCCGTGGACCACCTCTTCCAGAATCCTTGAAGCTTCTGCTGAATGAGCTGCCATCTAGAGAGCCTTGAGACGTTGAGTTGCTCTAAAGATGGCTCTGGAAGAGTCGTGGGAGCCTGACCGATGAGAAAATGCCCTGGTGTCAAGGCTGAACAGTCATCAGGATCATCCGTGAGCGGTTCCAGTGGTCGTGAGTTGAGCACTGCCTCGATTTGAGCGAGCAAAGTGGTGAGTTCCTCAAAAGTGAGCAGATCCTCTCCGATCGTCCGGGTGAGATGGAACTTCACCGACTTCACCGCCGCTTCCCATTTCCCTCCAAAGTGCGGAGCACCTGGAGGATTGAAGGACCACTGAGTCCCATCATTGATGAGGAGCTGTGCGAGCTGTCTTGATTGAGCTGATCCTGACGAGAAGAGCTTCTTTAGTTCCTTGTCAGCGCCAAGGAAATTGGTCCCACAGTCACTGAACAAGGAATGAGCGATCCCACGCCGACTTGAAAAGCGTCTATACGCCGCGATGAACCCCTCGGCTGAGTAGTCTGACACGACCTCGAGATGGACCGCTGAGGTGGTCATGCAGACAAAGATAGCCAACCAGCCTTTGTACGACTTGTGTCCCCGCCCTTTCCAGGACCGTAGAGACACTGGGCCGGCATAGTCGATCCCAGTGTTGAGAAAGGCTCGAGCGGGAGTGAGTCTGGCTGGTGGCAACTGGCCCATGAGCTGTTGAGCGCGTACTCCACGTTGGCGAGTGCAGTTAACGCACTTGAGGATGAAGGAGCGTACTGGTGCTCGACCTCCGAGTATCCAGTAGCTACTTCTGAGCTGCCTGAGGGTGAGCTGTGTGCCTCCGTGGAGTGTCCTTAGATGAGCCTGTCCGATGAGTAGCTGAGCCAGTTGAGATTCCTTCGGAATAATCACTTGGTTCCGGCTCTCCGGGCCTATGTGAGCAAACTTGAGCCGTCCTCCTATCCTCAATACCCCTTGGCGATCGATGAAGGGTGTGAGCTTGGTGAGGGGGTGGGATTTGCTGAACCTTTCCCCTCGTGAGATCGCTCTGAGTTGATCCTTGAAGTGAGCTGCCTGCGTGAGTTTGATCCAGAGGATGCGAGCCTCTTCAAGATCACCAAGAGTGAGCGGGTATCGAAGAGAAGAGTTGGGGGTTTTCCTGAGCCGAGCTATGAATCGTCGACAGATTGCTGTGACCCTGAGCAGTCGGTTGAACGATGAGAATCTGTCGACGAGATTCCAGAGCGCGATTGGATGAGCTTTTACATGTAGGAGAACTCCTGGCTTTTCCTCGAGGTCTGCGCTGAGGTCTTTTTCCAGAGCGTGAGTTGGCCATGATGAGCAGTCTTGATGAAGCCATGGTGGCCCTTTCCACCAGAGCTTATGAGATACCAGTTGGTGCGCTGATAGACCTCGAGATGCACAGTCTGCAGGATTCTCCTTGCCCAGTACCAATCTCCAATAAGCCTGCTGAGTGAGCTCCTGGATGAGTGCCACCCGATTTTTCACGAACTCCTTCCATCTTGAGGAGTGTGAGCTGATCCACGTGAGCGTGACCGATGAGTCGGTCCAGAGATAGGTGGTGGCGTTCGTGAGATTGAGTTGGTCCTTGACGTACTTAGTCAGTTTGGCCAGGAGGAGAGCCGCAGTGAGTTCTAGTCGTGGGATTGTCAGCCGTTTGAGCGGTGCGACCTTCGTTTTTGAGCAAACCAATGTGAGTTGTGATTTTCCCTTGTTGAGAACCTTGAGATAGATCACGGCTGACATCGCCACTTGTGATGCGTCGGAAAAACCGTGTACTTCGACGACGGAATCCGTGAGCAGTCCAAGCCACCGAGGTATGGTGATCTCTGATAACTGTGTGAGCTCCTCCCTGAATTGGCTCCATCGTTGAGCAGTTGTCTGGGAAACTGGTTCGTCCCATCCCAGTTTCTCGATCCATAGAGCCTGGAGCAATATCTTTGCTCGTATGACCACTGGCGCTAGGAAACCCAGTGGATCGAAGAGTTGAGCCGTTTCCGATAAAATGATTCTCTTCGTTATTGAGCTGGTCTCAGGCTGAGTGACGGAGAACTTGAAGTTGTCCGTTCCAGGATGCCAAGAAACCCCTAGAATCTTGGTGAGCGAGTCCTCTATGAATCGTTGTTCTTGAGAGGTGCTGTCAGGTTGAAGAGATGTGAGTAGAGCTGGGCTATTTGAGTGCCATTTGGCTAGCGGAAAGCCTCCTGACCGACAGAGCTGTGACACCTGATGAGCGGTCCTGAGTAGCTCTTCATCTGAGTCAGCACCCCCGCAGATATCGTCAACATATCGTCCTTTCATGAGCGGTTCCACAGCGAGAGGATAGTTCGATCCTTCATCCTCAACGAGCTGATGAAGAACACGCATTGAGAGGAACGGAGCTGACCTAGTGCCATATGTGACCGTGGTGAGTTGATAGGTGGCGATATCTCCGTTTGAGTCGGTCCAGAGTATTTGTTGGAGTGGCCAATCTTCCGGATGTACCCGAATTTGACGAAACATCTTGGTTATGTCCGTCATGAAAATGAGCCGTTTCCGCCGAGAAAAGAGAAGTACATCCGAGATATCCTTCTGCAACTTCTCACCCGTGTGCATAATCTCGTTCAACGATTGTCCTGAGCTGGTCTTGTTGGAGCCGTTGAAAACAACTCTGAGCTTCGTTGTCTCACTGCTCGCCCTGAGAACTCCGTGATGAGGGAAGAAATATTCCGGAGGAGCGTCAGCCCGAGAAGAACACGGACGGCCCGAAACCCTCAACCCTCCTGAAGCCGAGGCCTCATGTGCTAAGGTCATTTCGGTGCCCGTGCCCCCCCATTGAGCTGGCGCTGATGAGCTGATCTAGCGAGCTGTCCGGAGACTCGACGCATGTGGCCGAGCTCTTCATATTCCCTGAGGAAGTCCGTGTAGAGCTGACGATAAACCTCATCACGTGAGAGTTTCCTGAGCAGACGATGGAGGCAAGCGAGTGCAGACGATCGTGAATCTCCTAGCGAGGAAACTGGAGATTTGAGCGGTATCCGAACAATGTAGCGGCCAGATGCATCTCGTGAGTGGGTCCGTTGAAAGTGTTCTTCACACTGCGCTTCCTCCTCGTTGAGCTGAACCTCTGGTGTCCCAGGGATCTCTTCCTGGATCCAGAATTTGGTGAGCAGTTCGTTGAGATCCTCGTTGGTGACCGTTAGATGAGAAGTTGCTACTTGAGTAGTATCAGGACCTTCCGTTGGTCCGAATACGATCCATCCAAGTCGCGTGAGCTGAGCCGATGGTGAGTTTGGTCCGTTGGTGATGACTTGTGGTAAGATGAGTTGTCCATAGACATCAGCGCCAAGAAGGATGTCAATTGGTGCTGGTGTGAGAAAATCGGGATCAGCGAGCTGGAGTCCTTCCAGATGATCCCATGTGAGCTGACTTGGTGAGAATGTCGGTAATGAGGTTGTGAGCGGACCGAGAGCATAGGCAGAAACTCTGAGCTGAAAGTGAGAGCAAGTGGACTGTATTGTGAGCCGAACCTTGCCTAATGCCGGCCCAGATGCCGTGTCTCCAATCCCCGATATTCGTAGCTGTGTCTTGAGCCTTAACAGCCCAAGCTGACGAACGAGCTGGTCTGAGATGACGGAGATTTCCGACCCTGGATCGATGAGTAGACGAACCTGATGAGCTGGCTGATCTGGGCGTACCAAAAGCGCAAGGCTGGTAGCCAGAAGGACCCCAGGGCGGAAGTCTTGAGCGGATCCGGAATCTGAGTGGTGACCTGAGCAGGAGACGGCAATCTGAGCTGGTGATCTTCATTCCGACGACGTTGACTGGCCTTGGTCACCAGTCACCACCATGGGGATGTCGTTTTCGTGGGTGTAGGTCACCACCGGAACGGCCTTTTGCTGGGTTGAGTTGGTCTGTTGCCTCTGCTGAGCTGGACGTTGAGGCTGACTCGATGGCTGGTTGTGGAGCATCGAGTGGTGGAGGCCCCCGCAATACTGGCACTTGGTCTTGGACCTGCAGTCCCTCACCGAGTGCCGACCAAGGCAATTGTAGCAGAGGTAGCGACGCTCTACTACCTCCCTACGAGCTGATACCGAAAGTTGACGGAAGGATGAGCAGGATGTGAGGTAATGGTCTGCCTCACACATCGAGCACGGGTACGTGACCTTCCCCGATGGAGCGGACTTGGGAGCTGGCCTCGATTTTTGTGGTGGTTGAGCGGTGCCGTGGTGAACCTTCGCAGCGGTCGACTGCTTGGATGAGCTGACATTGGAGGGCTTTGTGGCAGGAGCACGAGGAACCGAGTTAATCTCGATGCTCTCCATCGCGCGAGCTCTCCCAGTGAGGAAATCCTTGAAGTCCTTGTATGAAGGATACTCCGCCGATGAACCGACCTTGACCTCCCAGGCTTCACGAAGCTTTGAGCTGAGCCGTTGCGAGACCGTATGTACGATCACCTGGTCCCACTGGGAGGTTGGGGAGCCGAGAGCCTCCAGAGCGTTCAGTGCCTCAGAGGTGACAGTGAGCAGGGCATTGAGCTCTTTGGCACTGTGAGAAGTCATGGTTGGGGGACTGAGGAGGTGTTCCAAATGAGCTGAAATGAGCAGTCGCTTATTCTCGTAGCGAGACAAGAGCAGTTCCCATGCAATCGAGAATGACTCATCCGAGATCGTAAGATTCGCGATGCGTTGAGCTGGCTCCCCTGAGAGACTAGTACGAAGATAATGCATCTTCTCCACGTTGGATAGATCCGTATTCGAGCCGACCAGAGACGCGAAAAGATCGCGGAACGAGCGCCAGTCCGCATAGGCCCCTCCGAACTTGGGCAGAGAAATCTCAGGGAGATAACGCTTGGAGTATGTGGGCTGAGCCGTCCCAGACGCGAGAGACCGACGAGATGAACCTGAGATCCCCCTTTTATCAATGAGCTGGCTTAAAATACCCCTTGCCTCATGATAATGCCCGATAGTAATGTCGAACCGATGGTCCTTGAAGTACGGCAATTCAAGGATCCCTTCGATCTTGCCGCTGCCAGCGATGAGCTTCTCATGAGTGCTCTCGAATTTTTCCCAGTAGGTCTCCAGGATCTCGAGTTTACCCTGGAGATTGGAGATTGTGAGGCTTTTCGCCTCTTCTGTGAGCAGCTCCTTGTAAACGCGTTCGATGAACGCTGCCCGAGAGTTATTCAGGCTAATGGTCGCCTCAAATGATGCCATAATTGAAAATAAGTGCGCAGCTCAAAAAAAGGAATGAACCGGAAAAACCTAAGTAAGGCGACCCCAAAAGCCAAGCAGTGAGCAGTGAGAAGCGATAAAATTAAGTATCCGGTCGGTTGAGCGGCAACAGTAATAACACCGAAGAGTCTTAATTTAGTAGGTAGCAGCAGTGAGCGATTCCGTTGAGCAGGCGCGAGAATTTATTGAAAAATTCAAAAAAAACGAAAAAGGGTTGGAGAATATAAAGGGAGCGGTAGCCAAAAAAAACAAAGTTGAATGCTCCAAAAAATTCAAAAAAAAGGAAAAAATGGCAAAAGTAGCAAGAGGTAATTAAATGCTACTTAGCCGAGTGAGTGATGTTGAGCTGGACCAGTGCAGGAACGCTGCAGTTGAGAAAAAAGTCCAAAGTCCCGGGGATGAGCTGCTCCAAAATTCAAATATTCCCGCGGGCCGGTAATGCAGTTCCCTGATGATTGGAGAGCTGGACTGGTTGAGGTCCACTGCGTACGCTGAGCCAACGAGCTGGTCCCCGTAGGTTGAGCACCACTGACCGCGGCACTTCCACTCCCGCCAAAACCCAACAAAAAAACCGAAAACCGAAAAATATTCCACCGATCCGGCTCGAAGGACCAAAATGTTTGATGAGATGCCTGGATCGGGGAATTAATTGTGCGGATGGATGAGTTGGAGTCGGATTACGGGGAGTGGGATGAGTAGAACCAAGAAATGAGCGGAACACGTGCACGTGGTCACAAATTCACTGTATTTGTCAAAGTTATATTCACAATAATTAAATGTCACTAATTGAGTCACTGATAACTGGAATTAATGAGCGGACCGAATTCTATGAATTAATAATAACTGAGCTGACACAATGAGTTAATCCGAGTCACTAGAGATGAGCAGTACCATAAAAGAAGTGTCTCTAACTAGATCCCGGAAACGAATGAGAGAGAGACACGGGCTTACAGGTGCCACGTGCCCTAATTCGATGGTCACATGACCTAATTTAATATAGATCATATGGTAATAAGGAGCTGTCCAGGACGTGGCGCCTCAGGTGTCCGAATTAACAACCCCCGGTCATCTGAGGTGAGCGCGTCAGGTGTGCGTGAGTGGGGAGAGAATGGATGAGCCTTGCGTGCGTTAGTGTGAGGGACCTGTCAGCTGACAGGATTTCCAACACAAAAACTTGAGCTACCTGCTACCTTAACTCTACTTCAGAGCTACCTTAAGTCCGGAAAATTACTCAAATTGGTTACCTATCGCGTGAATCGATTGCCTAACATTTTAGAATAATATTCATTAAATAACTTCGTAAAATAAACCAGACATTTTGCAGATATTTTTGTCCAGTCAGTTTTGTTGAGTTAGAGTTTTGTTAGTGCGGAGATAATTCTATGTCAATTCGGTTTAGGGCCAAAATATCACCGTGGATAACTTGGCCAAGATAATGTGCTACCCAGTGGTTTTTTGTGACCCTTCTGGTTTATTGATCGAGTGAGTACATAGGTCGGCTCGAAATATTCGCGCTCCCTTAGTCGTGGGAGTGTTAGGGCTTTGCAGGTGGAAAGTCGTAGGGGCAAGAACCCAGTTGTCAATGCGAATTGCCGTTTTGTTGTGAGTTTAGTTAAGTGTTCGTAAAGTTCTAATCACTCTCCGGAGAGTACCCTCGGGAGATAAGCTACCTTATTCAACCATAAATAGAGCAAAGACCGGCTCAAACATTTCCGTTTTCATTTTTTTTAGTTCCAGAAATTTTGTCGCAGTCCGTAACAATAATTAAAATCAATATCCCCATTCAGTAATAAATTCAAATATTTAATTATACGCCATAGTCGCCATTACGGTATCCACCCGGACGACCAAAGTGAGGTACGAGTCGATTTAACTCCCTGAACGAGCTCTCTTTCGAGGTAATTATCGAGGCCCCGTGACCAAAATTCCATCGAATTCAACGCTCCAGACTATGGTAAGTACTCGTGTACTTATTTAGAGGTGTTTAAAAGTGAATTAGTAGATTTTTTTGAAAAAGAAATTGGAGCGCATGGGATGGCGTCGCTACCTCTCGGAATGACGCCAACACCGATACTCATGGTTTGAAGGGTAGAAAACCCTTCAAACGAACTCAAATGGTCCCTGGAAGCTACCTGAATGTACCTAAATGTTAATCATGCTACCTGAAATAGTGATTATGGTGACAATTAGTGATTTTATACATCTCGCTACGGTGATCGATGCCACGTGCTATCTGCTCTCTGGCTCCCTGTCTGCTTGCTCTTTAGGTCCGCTTATTTTCGCTAAAGATTGTTACTTGCTACCTATTTTTCCGCATTCTCGTCTTCTCCTAAGAGTTTTAGGAGAAAAATCAGACTGCGTGAGATATCTTTTATGGCACGCCGTGCAATAAGTCGAGTTTATCGCACGCTGCGCTTCGCGCAGCGTGCTTCAAACTCGACTTCTGCACGATGTGGCATAAAATAGTATAGACTACTCGGGCATAAACTTCGTTTTCAACGAATATGAATACAAACCTCACCTTCGGCTCGGCCTGTAAACTTCATATTCGTCGAAAACGAAATTTGTGCCTTTGTACTCTAATATACTATTATGTGACTTCTACGCGTTCTATGCTACCTTGAATGTTCGTCAATTGTGGAATTCCGGTTGGGCATGGGGACGCTATCATGATTGTTACCTTAACAATTTTATGGTTGGAATCCACAATAAATGAACTCAGTTTCTGCTCTCTAATATTGATTAATTAGCTCTCTATCCGATTCCGAGTCGTTTGACACCAAAATCGGCCAATTTCAATGGAGCAAATCTCCATTGTCGGTTTGAAATCCACCCTTCCGGTGGAATAGCCACGGGGCAAGCATCCAAATCCCCTCGCTCTCTTTTTGTATCATTTTCAGTGGGGATAACTAACTAATTGCGTCTTAGGGATGGCCAAATGACCGAAAATAAATGAAAAAGGCTCTCCGAAATAGAAAATGTGAATAATTAGGAGAAATTAGGGAAAATGTCATACATTTTCCGTAGCTCCCTCTCACATTCGTGTAGCTACCTCGCTCGCTCTCTCTCGCTCCCCAGCTATATCCACGCGTCCTTTCTCTCTCAGATTCATGCGAACCGCGTGGATAATACCTTTGCCTATCTCCCTGCTAACTTTTAGTTGGGATCATTTCTTTTTCTACAATAAAATTAGTTTATTATTTTTTCGCGTCCGTGGGATTGTTCATCCCCTATTTGAAATTATGTCGAGTCAAAATTTGTATAAAATTTGTAGTTGCAAAATCGAAAATTGTGTAAAATATTGGCAATAGCGGAACATGTCAGTATAATTACGTTTTATCATTGGATTTTACCTACCCCCGATCTATCTAGAATTAAGATACTGGATTTTGAGCTCTTGATGAAGGATTGGTTTTTGTTTATTGGTTTTCCTGTCCACGAATCCACCCCTCTCTCCACGACCCGCACACTGAGCAGCCGAGTAAATCCCGTACTCTCGTGGTTGCAATCCCTGAGTTTTAGCTTCTGGGTTTTGTTGTGTCTCTTTTCGAATTCCGGGGATGGTTAGTATTTAGTTTAAGGCAATGGGTTACGGTTCGTCGATTCCGCGTTGCTAAAAATCGGCTGGCGCCCTAAATACACGAAGCAAGATTTGGATGAGCTGCTGACCATTCCCGGAGTTCTGTTTTGTTGTTGAGTTTTGGTGTTTCGGGTTTGGTTGATCGCGAGACCGAAGGTAATGATTTAGCCGTGTTAGGATAATCGAGAATTTTGGGTTAGGGTTTATTGAGTATTTGTTGAGACTACGGAAAAATCATTACAATATCTCATCCCGGGGCGATGCCAACGGTCATTTCAACCCTGGACACCCCTGACGGACCAACCCGAGAGTTGGGATTCTCAGTTTTTACCGTAAACCTAGAGTATTTCTCGGGATTTACTAGAATTGGAATGAGCTCGTAACCTAGAGTTTTTCTGTTTTCTCTGAGGTCTTGGGGGCAAAACCGAGAGTTCTTTTTTAACTTTAGGGATGATTGTAGGTTTCCTCTGAGGTCTTGGACAAAACCGAGAGTTATTTTTTAACTTGAGGGATGACTCTATGTCTTCTTTAGGGTCTTGGGGACGAAACCGAGAGTTACTTTTTAACTTTAGGGATAGGTCTAGGCTTTCTTCAGAGTTTTGGGAACAAAACCGAGAGTTCTTTTTCAATTTGAGGGATGAGCCAAGGCTATCTTTAGGGTTTTGGGGACAAAACCGAGAGTTATTTTTCAACTTTAGGGATGAGTCTGTGTTTTCTTTAGCGTTTTCGAGACAAAACTGAAAGTTATTTTTGGTAATAGGTATTAAAGATCCACTTTTTTAAAAACAGTAAATTCAATACAATTTTATGAACTATGGCGCTTACTGTGTTGGATTCTGATGTAGTAACCTCGCTCCCAGATTAGCGATGTATTTAGAAGATGGCCTACCAATAAAGTCGGACATTATGGGGTTCAAATCCAGCCGCGACCCCGTCGTGAGCCGTAGGTAACGCCAAGTGCTGGTAAGGCAAGATTTAATACTGCCTTAGCATAAGACACTGGACTTAGATTTAATTTCATGAGAATATCTCAGTTTAATTCTGAATTTGATTCAATTTGCCTCACGAGGGAAGGCGTAGGATAGGGGTATGCCCTGTACATCTTATGAGCATCAAAATATACATTTGAGTGTTTCATAGAGGTTGAAATTTAAATTAAAAAAGTAAGAAATGTTACGCAGACCTCACTGTAGACTACCCATAGAATAAACAGACAATATTTTGCAATTTTTAATCTTACTAAATTAAAATAAATTTTTCGAATTTTTAATTTTAAAATAATGTAACACCCATAGTACATTCTGAGAGCGACACTTTAAATAAGGTTTCCCATTATTATATTCAATAGATAAATCCAATTAAATTTATTAAACGTAAATTCATTCGAAGTCATGTCTCGGTA